ATATACTCGCACAGCCACGCGCTTTTTAAAGCAAGGTCTTCATTGTGTGGAAGTGTGTGTGTGTGTGTGTGTGTGTGTGTGTGTGTGTGTGTGTGTGTGTGTGTGTGGTTGCTGTAACTGTGTAGGTGACTGTTTGTAAAGCTTTGGGTGTTCTCGTTTGTATTTTGAGAGACCTATGGTGACATGCGCAGTAATAACATACCAAACATTTCACAGGTGCACGGGAGAATCTTTGCATTCTGCTCCTGCTACAACCCTTCTTTCTTTTCTTTCTTGTCAACAGTCCTCCATAGATGCAAATTAGCAAAGCCAAGGGCTAAAAAATAGCTTCGGTCAAAACAATGATAAGGGAAAATCTTGAACCGCCGCGCAGAAGAATTTTACGACACCGTAACACCTACTCGTCTTAATCAACGCCGGCAGTGATTGGTCAGAATTCTCATCTGCAATTTTGTTTTCTCCTCCAGCAACTCTCTTGCTTTTGAAGCCTTTGATTTATCAATGTCCAGTGATGCTATTGCATCTCTTCTTTATGAGATGCTGAGCAGTTTGCCAAATTGCCCTCCGACAGGGAAACTGCCATTGAGGGTGGCAGTGATTCTATTAAAGCTGGATCTAATCACGCATCGACTCTCTCCGTGTTGTACCGACAGAAAGATAAACTTCTTATTTTCCATTCTGGGTAATTTGCTTCTCTGTTGGAAATAGCAGCAGTCACCGAGCTCTAGCTGTGACCCTTACCTAGTTACCTCTTCAATTTGTTTTTTTTTCTTCTGCCAAAACCATGATGCTGTTTTTCGGTGCATAATATCATCTCTGAGGAAGCTGCAGAGAAAAACATTTCAAATAGGTGGATAATTTCAGGGGCCTTTAATGTAGAAAGTGAAAAACTCTGGCTGTTTTCTACCCGATAACACTGCAGAAAAGTTTCCTTTGCTGCCTTCCTAAATTGAGAATGAACGTTTTATCTCAGACTTCTCTTGGCTCGGCCTGGATAAAAGGTTGACTAATGAATTTTCTAGCTCCTAAGGGGAAGCAAACAGACTGGTTATTAAATAGGTTAGATGTGGTATGTGGATGTTCTTTCTTCCTTACATTGTGAAAAAAAAAAAACAACAACTCTGGTTTATGTATCAAGGAGAAGGCGACAAGGATTTTATGCTTTAAAATGTTTGCAAATGTCATTCTCACGTTCAAAGAGTGAAAACTTTCTTTGACAAATCACGTTTTTCTATATTTAAAGCTCCTGTGAAAAGTGTTTGGCTGGTTTTAAAACAGACTGATATTAATTTGGATGCCTCTTGATGACCTACAGAAGCAAAACCAGACCATCAGCGACAAGATTGATAATTTCTTATCAGTTATTTTCAATTCCTGTAACTGCTTCAGCTGGGGAGTTGTCATGATAAGGCTGTGGACAGCATTCTTTAGAAACTGAGTTTTTACAGTTTCAACAGCAAATATTCTCAGTGAGTGATACAATTAACCGTTGCAAAGAAGCAGGGTGACATTTTTTCCTCAAACAACATTACCTATGCATGAATTGAACAAGATTAGCAAGGACATGATGAGACATACGTCGATGTTCGCAGGGGGCAGCAATAATCAATTCAAAGCAGAAGTTCCTCACAGGAGCTTTAAATGAACTTTTACACCTTTTATCATCAATACTTTTACTCTGCATCTACCCTGTGTGAGTGTGCATTTCTATGTGCAGAGATTATAGAGCGCAAGCAAGCCAGCAGGCAAAGTGTTGCCAGTTTTTTTCTTTCCCACTGCTGTGCTTACATTAGCATAGATCATGCAGCAATCTATAATACATAGCCCGTTAACAAGGTTGGCATTTTTGATCCATAATTAAGGAGTATATTTTCAAAGAGTTTCCAGAGTCACACATGCAATTGCTGCAATCTCTCCACTCCTGCCTCTCTCAGGCCACGTTATTTTACAGTATGGTAGCTATTGATCTGCTCTGCCATTTGGCTATTGATCCGAGTGGATGCCATTATGTCAGCGAGATTATAGCCCCTTCGGAAGCATTCTGAAGTGGAAAACCAGTGGCTGAGAACCGATGAGATGAGCTCAGTGCTTATACTGCATCGGATGCAACAGCAGCTAATGACACAGAGCCAAGCACAGCACGGAGCTGAACAGAAGCGTTTAGCTTAGCGTAGCAGGGTACAACCTTTCCCAGAGTGGAGCCTAGCAAAGCAAAGACAGAACACTTTAATTTCTCTGGTTTCTGGGTGCCACAGGGAACGATAGAAGCAAACAGGAGTGAAAATCAAATCGACTATCCCGCACATATAGTCGATGTTTTATTGGTGCAGCTCATTACAGCCTGATATTCCCTGTGACATCCATTGGCTCCCAGATTGTCTTCAGTTGATCATTCAAATTGACCACAATTCACTCTGCGGCTGGGGGGAAGGGACGGGGCTTTCAGAAGCTGATTTGGAAAAAGGAAAGCGGGGGGGGGGGGGTGGTTGAGCGTGGAGGGCAAGTGGGCGTTCTTTCTGGCATTCAAACCGGACCGTCATGTTGTTAGAGCAATATTGAATCTAATTGCATTTGTAGCAGGGGTTTCTGAATTTTAAGAGACCCATAAATGGAATTCCGGGCACGCAGACACACGAGCTACTGATGCAGTGAGCATGTGAAGTGCACACTCGTGGAAAAAAAAAAGCCCAGTTTGCAGTCAGTTTGATGCAAAAAAAATTCCACAGCAGAGTCCATCTAGCTGCTTTGTCCTGGATGCCAATGAGGGCTTGTAACTGCTGACCCCAAGGTTGTACGCGATGCTGTGCCGTGTTTCTCAATGAGGCTCAGTTTGAGACAGAGGGACCAGTTAAGCCATAACCCCCAAGGGAGGAAAGCCACTGTTAAACCGGCTTTGCTTTTGTGGTACGAGTGCTTCCTCAAAATAAAAGCACTGAATTCAGTGTCTTGCAGCCTCTCCACACCCTGGGATTTCATTTCTAACAAGACAAAGGCCGTTTAGAGAGAGAGAGGTAACTGGCAATTGTGTGGCCTGCCCTCTGCAGGGCTACTATTCAGATTCAAATCCTCAGTGTGTTTATTGGATAATAAATTGACCATGAAAGATTAATTTGCATTTATTTCATCATCCCCATGATATAGAGCCACAATTTCTTTACTGTAGTGTCCAGAGCCTAATAACCCAGAGGTAAAAAGGCTTATGAAAATGTGTTCCCTTTCTTTTAAGGACACTGGAGTGAAGCCCTGTGCTAGTCCCACTGCTGTGATTCACATTTCTGGCTTCCTCCTTGATTAATTCTTGTCACTCTCAGTCAGGAGCCGACATATCAGACACACTTAACACAGAGGCGAGAGTTATCACACATTCATTGTAATCAAAATCCTAATGAACACCTTTTAAGAAAAATGGAAAAATCCTGAATCACTGAGAATTTGCACAGTCAGGATGTGTGTGTGAATCTGTGTGTTCAGGGATATTAGAGTTTGTTAGAGCGCCAGAGGCAAATAAGCACGAGGGTCACCTCTTATTCATAGCAAGTCTGACACGAGCATTTTTCTTCCTTTACATTCTGAGAGTTAATTCCTCCGTGCAAAAGAGCCTCAGCAGACAGATCAAGTGATTCATGGGGCTGAGCGAGCGGGAACACAGAGGCTGGGTGGCCACATCAATTTCAAGTTTCCCCCCCTCTGCTAGCCAAAAGGTCACACGTTTAATCCCAGCACCAGCGAATGTTCAGCCCGGATTACAAGGATGTAAAAATAAATGAGTCCTTGAAATGTGACAGTATTTACCAACACTTGAGACATTAGGGTTATGACTTTGGCTCCACTCAATGATTATTCCCATTAGCAATTAGCATGCTGATTAGTTTCTTGATTAATCTGTTAGCATTGGAAAATAGTGGCAAAATACAAGATATCTTTTCAAAAATTCTAAATACATGTAACTCTTCAGTCCCAGTCAGCGATTTAAGCAGAAAACAGACACAACTGATGAGCTGGAAATAAAGAGAGATGGATGCTAAGATATTCATATTTGGTCGATAAAGTATCTTAACAAACACCTGTAGATATGCATCAAACCAACACTGTCACACATTATGGTTTTAACCACAAGGCTCACTCAACTTTGGTCAAACACATGTGGCACGTGCCACAAAAACCCATTAAGAGGGTTCAGGGAGCAGCCATGTTTTCTGTTTAAGTGCCATTGAGCAATAAAAAACTGAGGCCCAGTCTCATAGTAAATCTCGTTTCTAATAGCAAAAAAACTGTTAGGTTACATAACGTAACTGTAGGCCTATAGGTTACATTGGGAGGAGCGGCCGTCTCGTGCTCATTATCAGATAGTCAGTCCGTAAAAATGGTGCTGTGGGAAGCACGCGGGGGTCGCGAGGGTTATATTTTATTTTAGTGACTGCTGGCTGCATGCCATGGGGGTGGTGTGGGCGTCAGTGTGTGTGTGTGTGTGTGTGTGTTAGTGTGTGTGTGTATTGGATAGTGGTGATGGTGGTGGGGCCTCATATCACGGATGGGCTGATTTTCCGCGCGGACCGGAGGCACGAGCCGCTGCTGCCCGGACACGCGCTGACTCTTCAAAAATAAACAGCTGCCTTAAATTAAACTGACAGACCACGAAAGCACATCACAAACAAACATGTTGGCTATTAAAACAACCAATTACATCGTTTGTCCATTACTTAAGCCTCCTTTGCTAAATTTGACTTAAAGAATGAACTGTAGGCTGCAAAGAACCAAAACCCGGTCGCGAACTTGATCGGGGAAAGTAGAAGCATTGAAGGTAATGAATCCACCTGAACGCAAATAACTCCTCCGAAAACTAATCGAAATTCACCCCGAATTGTTGTTTCCAGTGTCTTGTTCTTATATTCGCCCTGTCTCTTGGATACAAGTCGTACGTTCAACAAATTGCAGGAGAGAGTGATCATTTCATTTAACATAAGCAAAAAATAAGCTGCTGTTAAACTCCGCTGGCTTACCTCCAGTGCACGTTCAGGCTCTGTCCACGGTGTTGAGACGCTTTCCCGCTGTCCAAGGTGCTGAAATTGTCTCTGTCCAGGGTCCTGAAACGCTTAGTCTCTGTCCAGAGTGCTGAATATCATCGCAGGCTCCGAAGACGCTTTTGTAAATCCGCTGCAAGGAGGCGCAGGAAAAAAAAACAAAAAAAAAAAAAAACGCCGGTCCAACAACTGATGGTGCCGTTAAGTTACATTCAAGAAAATCCCAGCCGCGTCACAAGGCTCTAATAATGTGTTTCAAAAACGATGATGTCAAATGTAAATCTTTAGGAGTGTAGCCTGCTGGCTGTTTGAAGTGAAGCCGCTTGGGCAACTGCTGAGGCTTCTTTGCTAGTTGCTTCTTCCTCCGGATAAGCTCAACCATCGCTCTCTCTCTCTCTCTCTCTCCCCCCTCTCCCTCTCCCATCCTCCTCGTTCTATCAATCACTATTCAATTCAAATATGTTGGAGTGACAGGAGGGGCACCAATCGCCTCTGGTGTCCTATAAGCTACAATAGACATGAGCTAATGAGTGCCCTATTTAAACAGAAATCATGTGGCATTAGCTTTTATTGGCTGTGATGTGATTCAGAGAATTCAATTTGACTTAGTCCAAAGTGAAGGTTATGAACAAAGAAAAACATTTTCTCTGTCTCTAGCACTCACTCTCTCTCACACACACACACACACACACACACACACACACACAGGGGAAAAGATTGCATTTATGTTCGATTTACTATGAACAGCCACCTACTGCCCCTTTATTTTTTTATCTGACTGAGTTTTGTTTTAACAGAGCAAAACTTTCACACTGAGTATTTTGTGACTTTATGAAACTAAATGATTTATTATTTTTGAAAGGTGCTTAATTAAAATAAATTGAGTGGCATTATGGGAGAAAAAGCCCTTTAATGGAGGGGTCAGATCTTTATAAACTCACCAACGTACAGCAGCAAAGCCTCCTCGCTATAAAGGAGAGTTTAAATAAATGCATTGTTATTCTCACCCTCAGAAATTCAAGGTATTCTATTGAATATTAAGTGTGATAAAGTTGCAAAAAAAAAACACACTGTCAAGGACTATGAAAAAGACAGTATTAGTATTATCTATCTTACTGACATAAGAAATATCCAATAACTTAAAAAGCTGCCATGGACGAAGGACAAAAGGTTTTAAAAAATGAGTACCGTGGATGCGATATTACAGAAAGATGTATGCTAACATGCTTAAATTTTGCAGGTCAATGTTAAAGGTGCTCTATGGAGTTTTGGTAGAGAAATGTGATAGTTGGAGAAAAATACAGATTCTGTGTTATATGTTCATACCGCCATACACAAAGTGTCCTCAGAGGAACATTTTGTCCCTGGAACGCTGTTTGAAGATAAAATGTTATGCTTTTAAGCTCTGAACAGTGTTACAGGGACCCATTTTTTTCTTTTAATAAAGTTTGTGTATTTAGTTCAAGAATTTATAGCATATAATTGTTTCACTTCTCCAACTTTCAAATTTCCCTACCAAATCTAAAAAGTGCCCCTTTAACCATGTTCATCATCTTAGCTTTCCACATTACCAGTTATGATTGCAGCTTTGTGTGGCACAAGACAAAATTCCCCCAGGGGACAATAAAGTTTATCGTTATCCTGACATTTGCATGTTAGCTAATTTGGGCATTACGTTCCTTTAACTGCCCCTACTTAACATTTAATAGCAGTTCATGAACGTATGACTTAATTACAATTCATATTACACTTCTCATATTATGTATTTTTCAAGCTGCTAAAAGTGCAATTCTAAAAGCAGTAAATGCAAAATATTGCTGAGGCTGATGGGATTGTCGTTAGTTTACTGCTCTTGTTTTGGTTATGAAAGTATTGGACGGATTGAAGTGTTGACCTTATGATTGTTATAGATGTAAAGTCAAAGGGCTACAGAAGTTATCTTAGTTCATCACCAGTGGCGATTCTTGAGTCAGCTGGCGCCCAAAGCAGAAATCCACACTCTAAACAGCGTTCATCCCCATTATGTTATATCTGACACCAACAAGAACACTTTTGTTATTAAAGTGTCTCCCTCACATATTCAGGGCTAGACAAGCATCGTTCAGTCGTTCACTGTTATATGCGTGAGTGCTGTCAAATGGGGCCCCCTTAGGAAGGTTTCCTGTCATTGCAAACTTTGCACACTTCGAGCCACAGCTGTCGTTTCAAGTTTATCAGCCTTTAGGTGCCCCCTACTGGCCAGGAGCCCCAAGCAGTTGCCTGCCTTACCTGTTGACAAACAGCGCCTCTGTTCAACACTTAAGATCCAATGTGTGCTGCTGATTTCCTCTCAAACCCCCAACAGTTACGATACCAGAGGAAAAGCCAGGGGATCACCAAAGTCATAAGGATTTATCCTTATATAAGCTATGAATGTAAGTCTGTCTATGTGAAACTTTGACCTTCATGTGGAGCCCAATAATCATAACAGTCAATAAAAATGATCCTCTGGTAACCATGACAGTCTATATCAAATTCACATAGAAATCCATCCAGAACGAAAGGAATCATTTTAATCAAAATCCCTCCATGTTGGCATGAAATGAGCTGAGATCAGCAAAGTCCTCGGGATTCATCCTCTGGAGAGCATGCATGTCTCTCCAAATGTTCACAGAAATCAATGTAATATATCTTGAGATATCTCTTAACAAAAACCATCAAACTGACAGACTCATCGTCCTAAAAGCCATGTCAGGAGGGCGACTAAAAATGTGACGATGAACTACCTTCTGTCACCATTAACTAGCCGACAAAGAGCACAGGATGTCGATACTTTGATCTCTTTTACCTGCTATTAGAAAACATTAAAATGCCATCATGTTAGCAAAAGGTCCTAAAGTCAAGGTTGATTGCACGGATGGATTATAAGTGATTATCAAAGAGCAATAGAATCGGAATATTAGATGACACAGAATAAGAAAAAAAGGTCACTAAGACACTGTATAGGTCAGTGTGGGACTGCGCCATATTACATGATAGCACAGAAGAAGTCAAATACATTCAAGCACTCTGCACAGTCACAGCTGAAGCCCCATGCACAGTCTATAGGCTTGCTATGTCCCTATAGGGTTATAATGGGAATATTGAAGTGATTTTCAATGGGGATTTGGCTGTCCCCTTCCCCGTAGAGGAGAGCAGTCTGCTCACTCTCATTAGCTTTCAAAACCACGTCTATATGAAGTGACTGCGCTCAGCTCCTTCAAATCAAGTAGGCACAGAAGAACCCCTCCTGCCCCCGCTCATCATTTTTTTCAAGTTATTCAGAAGCCACACATACCGTCATCACGTTAAAAGCAATCCTCAATGATTAGGGTTTTCATAAGCCAATCAGTGGCGATTTGATTCGGGTGATGAAGGTAGATGTGAGGTGACTCTCTGATGGAGCTTTCATGGGTGAGATCAGAAGGTTATACATCGGTCTGAGTCAAACTGAATGTAAGATGAGAGGTGTTAAATATTGAGGTCCCTCCCCCCTCCTCACTCCCCTGTTTCGATCTCGAGCTTCTCGGTTATGTAACGTTTTTCTGAATGTTTTCGGGGTGTGGGAAAGATTGTCTTCCTGGCTAGGGGAGGCACAACAGCAGGGGAGGCACAACAGTCTATGGTAGCTGGCTACCTGTGGGACTGGATCAGAATTTAAAGTGTCTTGATTCAAATCATGCTGCCCCCCCCCCATTCCCAAAATTCAATAAAAGAAAGCAGTAATTGTATTGCACATTTTTCTTTGAAAATCCATCTTTCTGTTCTATGATACAAATTAATTTTCGACATCACAGGGTGGAAGATCCTATCAGAAACCTTTTATTTGTTTTCTACATAACTCAACATGAGTGAGGCAGAGTTTTACTTTAGGACTCCTGGAGACAGACTTCTGTCAGTATAAAACAAATCATTTGTGATGTTTTACATAAAAGAAGAAAATTGACAAATAACGTAACATGAGATATTTATTTCAAATAAGATAAGAACAGGATTAAGATTACAACATCTAATGCCAAACTCGAGGCCCAAAAAAGCATGTTTACAGGTGTAAAGTCTTAGGTAATTCAAGTTTTTATTCCTCTGCATTTTATAAGAATATAGTGGATTATTTTGTGACTCTTTTCAAAGAGCTATTGGCCGTCAGATTACATCTTTGTTGCATTTTTACAAGCATAACAACAGAACAGGTTTCTCGTAATCATTATATCCATTTGCCAAACCACTCAATAACAATTAGAAGTACTAAAGTTTGATTAATATTTTACTTACATGTATCTTACTTTTTGATCCATTTGATCAATTAAATGGTTTAATGCTAATTAGGGGCAGTTAGAAAGGAACTTTTTGCCCAAATTAGCTAACATGCTAATGTCTGGATGAGGATAAACTTTATTGTCCCCTGAGGGAATTTTGTCTTGGACGCCAGTGCCACACAAACGTGAATAAAGCTTGGAACATTCCCCAACCCACAAAGAAGATTTATTTTTGCCTGAGGAACATCATGTATATCTCCAGGGCAGCAGACTACGACTCCAATGATCCCACACTACTTCACAACATCCTCCAACTAAGTCTCTCATCCGTCTTTAGATATGAGAGACTTGTAGCTTTTCACTTTACATCTTGTTCATTTAGCATTTTGAAACGTTATTTTTCGATCCCTATCCTTCTTCCTGCTTCTCCCTCTATCCCATTTTTAAAAACCTAGCAAAGTCCATCAAGATTTCTGCTTCTTAAAAGGAAGTTTTTGTCTTGCCATCCTCACTTTGCCACATTGCTTGGTGATGTGCTCATAATGGATTAACGCTGGGTCTTTGTAACGTAACAAAGAGCAAGGTCTTTTACCTTCTCTTCTCGTAGCAATGTCTTGAGATAACATTTGTTATGACTCAGCGCTATACAAATAAAGATGGACTGATTCTACACTTGATGATGATGATATGAAAACAATGTTAAACTGTGAAGCTGGTGACAAACAGCTTGATAAAGAGCTTTATATGAATCACAAGTGGAAAGTTCTTGTCTTTTAGCCCTCTGTCAAAGTTCACCCAGTCTGCTCTCTGGTGTACTTTTTTTGTCAGCATCTGGACGCTGCGCATCACCAAGCCACAGAGACATGGGCTGGAGACGAGCTAGGGAATCTTTTGGAGTAAACAGCTGCTCGAGTGGTATTGGCTGAGACCAAAATGATTGCCATTGTTTTAGATTATGGTTGATAATGGTTGTGTTGATATTCATCGGGGTAATGGTTAAACTCTGTAGCCTTCTCAAAATGAGCTCACCTGGCTGTTACTACTCATTAAATCATTAAA